TCAATCCCCATGGCCACCTGTGGCACTCTTGGTGCCAACCAACTGAGATAGTCAGCTGGATCCTCCCAGTTGGTATCAGTTTGGGGATGCCCTATTCTGAGGCTGGGAGAGATGTATGGGTTGGCATCATATCCCAGCGGAGGCAGATAGGGGTGAGGGGTTGGCTGAGGCGTACTTTGGGTGGAACTGGATGCCTCAGGGGAAGTTGGGGGAGGAAGCAGGTATGTCCCAAGTTGGGGCCGATAAGGAGAGCTTGTGATCAGGGCAGTCCTTTTCGGTGGAGGCAGCGGAGGGACAGGGGGAGATGGAGGGGAGGGGGGGGAAATAATCCACAGAAATGTTCGGAATTCTGATTCTCCTCTTAAGCATAAACAAATTATTTCTGGTGGGGTGGTGGGTTATTTCTACAGGGGAGAGCTCTACTCTGCAAGGGCTTCACAAGGAGGGAGGTGATTGCCCTTAAGGGAGACGGGGCAGATTTTCGGGAATGCTCTATTCCGCATCGTATCCCAGCGGTGGCAGACAAGGGCAAGGGGTCGGCAGAGGCATACTTTGGGTGGGAACTGGATGCCCTTGTGGGAGTAGGGGGGAAACGGGTCTGTCCCAAGTTGGGGCCAATGAGGAGTGTTCATGTTCAGGGGCGTTCCTTTTTGGTGGAGGCAGCGGTGGGGCAGGGGGACGAGGCGGACAGGGGGGAATTTCTTTATCCTTTGTTTGTATTTGGTGGGACTTTTCCTGATTCTTTCTGGAGTTTTCAAAACAAGAACCCTTGTTATTCCTGGTAGTTTGAAGAATCTTTCGGGACTCTGAGGATCTGCTGGTGGTTTGTACGAAGCTGCACTGGAATTAGACTATTCTATTCAGGATCCGTGGTTGTTCAAAGCCAGAACGACGCTGGGCGGAGCGGGGGTGATGCCCTATAACTTGCCGAAAGTGAGGGCATGAGGCCTTGTAGAGAGATCTGGGGATGCTATGGGGGGGCATCCTACGGGACAACCGGGGGTTGCTGGCACAGGACGACACTGGACGGAGCTGGAGTGAGTCGCGTTGCTCTGTAACCTAGCAGATAAGGGGCGTGACGCCTGGATGAGTTTGTCAGAGAATAAGTCAGTTTCAGTAAGCTTTGTTATGATCTGTTGGAACTTGGAAATCTCTTAGATACTCGAGTGTTCGAAAAATTGCAGTGGATTTCAAGAGGTGTTTAGCGATCATAAAAAAGGATTCGTAGTCTTCTCATCATATATCCCGAAGTCCAGTAGCCTGTTCACGATCTTTTGGAGGATACTCTCAAGGCTGAAACCAGGTAAATGGCCCCGGTACCTCAATTGGTTCATAGATTGTTTTGTACATATCTTCATATGGGACGCTGGGTCCGATTCCAGCACGTGCTGCTCCCCACGAATAGATTGGAGCATGTTTTCAAAAAAAAAAAAAAAGGTCTTCAGCAAACACGGGTGTGAGTGCGTGTGTGAGTGGGTTGCGTGTGGTGTGTAGGAGAGTGTTGGCTTTAGACACTACTGTTCCTCGATGGGGAAGGGTGAAGATGAAAAGGGAGGAACAGTTACTGGCAAATGCTCAGTCCATGTGTTAGTCGGGCCCCCACCGGCGGCCCCAACCCTGCACCCTAAATGCTAGCCTAAGGGCAAAGGGGCAAACATGCCTGTTACCTCTCTCCACCGAGAGAGGTAACCTCCCTTCACCGAAGAGAGTTAGAAGGCTATGCTTGCAGGGGTCCCCTACATAGCCTTAGGAGTAGTGATAGGTCGGTAGTGAAAGAAAGATATGTTCCATGGCAGAACGTCAGTTAAAAATATGCGAGGTGAGAGAAAACTATATGGCTGTCCCCCGATGAGGAGAAGGCAGTCGTATTTTATTTTTTTTAACAAGCCTTATTTAAAAAAAATAATTAAAAAAAAAGGAACGATATAGAGATTTTTTTTTTTTTTTCTTGTTTTTAGAAGTTGTCACTTTTATTGCCAATAACATAAATGAGACGAGCCCGAGGACCTCACAATTCAACCCGCAGGAACCAGAAACTGGAAACCGGGTCTAAGGGAGAAGGCCGCGCGAAAAATGTGCGTTAACAGTGAAGTGGCGATAGCGGCGATGGTGGCGCCCGGTCGTCGGCTGCGGCTGAGTAGGACGCAACGTTTGAGCATGTGGACGTTGATTCTCTCTGCGAGGCGCCTACCCTGCCAGGCAGCATAGTTGTGTGAGAGTTATGGCGATAGTGCCCTGGCGTAGCCTAGCTCTTGAGTGGGTTAGGGGGTGCCTTTGCACTCTTACACCAAGGCATCTTGGCAGCTCTGCATCTGACCTCCATACCAACCTTCATACCCAACAGAATTGCGATTTCGTCAAAACGTTCATTTTTTATTTTTTGCGCGAAATTGAAAGTCCATTTTATTTCGATTTTTGTATGTAATTTATGAAGTTTTTTATAGGTATTGTGTCAGGGTCAGGGGCAAAGGGGTAAGGGGTAAGGGGTATGAGGTAAGGGGTAAGGGGTAATATGGGTAAGGGGTAAGGGGTAAGGGGTAAGGGGTACGAGATCATCTAAGGTAACACAGTAATGGTGTTCAATCGGGCATGTCGTATTGTTGCTTTGTTAAATACATTCGAACATGTTCATGGGTGTCTATCCAGCAGAGCCAATGAACTCTTTACATTTGAAAAAAAATAAACAAATGTTTTGCTTTGATAATGTCGTCTATCAAATGTCCTTTGTTGCACAACTAACTCCTACTTCGATGTGACGAGTACATCTAAAGCGATCCGTCCCCTTATATTGTGGATGTCGTCGAAAGAGAAGTTGAATGGCGGAAGAAATCCTCTTGTCAACAGTAACGCATATGTTAGCATAAACACACCGCATTCGTTAATGCCCCGCTGTCTAGGAATGCTTGACACATTCCATATGTGGTTGAAATCTTTAGTATCCACCATCTTACCCTGTTCAACCGATCTTTCGAACAAGAATCTTGTGAAACCACCTATCACTTTCCTTGCCGATTCTTTGTTAAGGGTAAGCGAGTCGTAGTACTCCATTTTCTGGCGCCTTAAGTCTGCTATTACTAGTGTCCAATGGTTGGACATCTGAACATGGAATAAAGCTATTATTAAGTCAACGTCACCCACATCGATATCTGTCATCCACTTTTGCACTGCGCTGTATTGGTATTGCATGATGTCGTCGAACAATTTCGCGAAGAAGAAGGAACTAAAAATTGTTGTTATCGGGATGCGCTCTTTTCCTTCTACTACGGTTCCGTCTTGTTCACTATCACACTCGCGATGGCTTATGCGACACATGTTGTCAAGCCTAACGAGGTTCAAATAAAAGTTAACTATGTCGGTGTTCAACCAATTGCCTTGAAACAGTATCAACCTCAAATCATGCCCGGTTAGTGTTAGTTCTTCTTTTGTTGCCCCGTTGTGCGTGGATGTCCAGACCGTTCGATTCTCCGCTTGCACTGAATCTCATAAATGTTGCACCGCGGCCGTCTCCTTCTCCGATAACTTATCCGTTGCTAAGCGGATCGTCCATCCCTGTTTGCATCTTCGTATTTCTTCTATGTTCCTCCTTTCTGCACATGACAATGCATTATGCGCCAACGTAAACTGTCGTTATTGGGGCCTACCATATTTGCATGCTGGAAACGGCGGAGAAAATTTCAATTGCTAAATCCTGGCAACAAGATACTATAGCGAGTTGACATGAATACCCCGGCCTCCGTCTTCCTTGTCATATGCCGCATAACATAACTACAATTTTTTCCAATTTTCGTGTATTTTTTTAAAGCAAATCGATCAATGGTACTTATCAGGATCTATGGTGGTTAACGGTAACCCTGCTTCCATCTGTTCTTTGATGTTCATGTTCACTACTCTTGGCAATATTTTGATTATAAGTTCACTACTCCAGGCTTGTTGTTTCACATATTTTCACGTTTTTTTTTTTTTCCATTTCATTATTATGATTTCCTTTTTTCAAGTTCGTGGGGATTTAGGTTAAGACGACCATTCGCAGCGCGCTAGAAGATGGCATAACAAGTTCTCTAAAATTAGAGGTGTCCTTGACACATGGCAGGCAAAGTGCCCCATATAGTGTGTTTTCATATGCCTTTATTATAAAACTGTACCAAGCACGCGCACTTTGGCGCACACAATTTAATCCACACACAGAACCCAACGCTGCAAACGAGTCCACCTCTGCCTATTCACACACATACACACACACACACACACACACGTATCGAGATGGGGCACCCTCTATTATCGACACTACAGTTTTGAGAATTGCAGTGTCACAATAACACTTCCATTAAGACAACAATATAACCCAAAACGCGTTTACACCCATTCCTGTCTAACATAGTTTTCTAACATAGTACCCATCGACAACCTATCAATTTGACAAGAAATGCGTAGACACCCCATGTGAGGACCGGGTGAATATCGCATCATGATTTGTGGCAACACATCAATATAACCTGAAACGTGTAAACGCCCATGCCCGTCTAAGGCTTTCCTACGCATCAAACACAGTTTTTTTAATTATTGCTCTCGTTGACCGTCTCGGTCGTTGCGCGTCCTCTTCGTCGTCACCTTCCACTCGTGGTGCAGCGTGGTCATCTTTCTGGTCGTCATATTGGATCATATCCTCGCTCGTACTCTCCGATCTCATATCTATTATGGAAATGTGTTCGCGAGATCCCTCACCTTTCTCCGTCTCCTCTGTTGTTGTCGCCACGTGCTCTGGCGCCACCTTCACGGTCTGGCTTTCAACATCCTGGCCCGCATCGGTCTCCATCATTTCAGATACGCCTTGCCTCGCCGTCATTGTCGCGACAAGAGACCTGAAAGATCCAACGATTGTTGCCCCATCATTGACCTCGCGCGTTGGCGGCTCTGTCAATGTGCCCGACTCCATGTCGTCGCCGTTCTTGCGTATCATAGTGGAATCCCCCATTGTGCTTCTCTGTGTGCTTTGTTGAATACATGCTCGCAACTGTTCATTCTGTATGTGACCTTCGTTCGCACGTGTGTCCGTTTCGCAGCTTGCATCCCCTCAGGCCATCGCAACGATGGTGTTAGACGCGATGACGTCTTGAGTCTTCAGAGAGGTGATGCTATCGATTTCTTGCACTGCCGACGCTTGTTTGATTTTCCAATCGATGGAACCGTACGACACACTTTATGCAAGGTCGTAGAACTTTGTGCTGAATTCTAGTTGTTTGTTCGCACGCAGATGCTTAAACAAAGTTTTCGCCTTTGTCGCTACAACCACCTCGGTTGCACCGACATTTTCTTGTGCAACCCGCCGAAAAAGTTACGTCTCCGTCACGCTGTGCCATATCGCAGCGTCCTTTCTTTCCTTCGCGACCCACCCGCGGTCTTTTGTCTTCACAGTCATTTGCCACTTGCCCGCAAACACGCACGGTTCAAACACGCCCTCATGCCAGAGAATATGATGACCCCAGTCCTCCTCTGATGACTCATTGTACTTGTCTTGCACCAAGTATGGCACTGAAGGGTCTTGAGCAAAGCCTTGAGGTAACGGTTTTCCTGGCACGAGCTTCGGCATGACAGCTGTCAGATCCATGTCTTCATCTTCATCTATGTCCATCGACATGAGCGTTCGCTGCTCGGCCTGCGGTGCATGTGTCGATGATGGTCCAGCTGTCGGCGGGGTCATTTCACACCCATTCTCTCCTCCCCCTGTGTTGCCCCGTGACTCGCACCCACCGGGTTCGTTGGTACACCATTCTTTTCTCCCCTTGCATTCATTCTATGTTCCACGTCTCCCTCACTAGCATGTGTCACTCCCAAACTCGACCTCGCCTTTTCCGCATCTGCGTTGGTACTCCCTTGCGGCTCCTCGGCACGTGCTCCCTGCGCCGAACGTAGTGTCTCGCGCGACGGAACGTCCAGGTCGGAGTCTGACGTATCTTCGTCACAATCGATGTTGTTGAAGTTCCCCGCTTTACGTGCCAAGTCCGCATAGTCCCTGCATGACAGTGCTCTTTTCTTCATATTGAAATACAAATGCTCACAACGTGCGACGAACATGTGGAAAGCACTCATGGGCGATTCGTGGTACTCGTTCATTGCTATCTCGAGTTCACTTTTCTTGATGACGTAGTCGTTATCGACCGCCGACCGTGGAGCGTCACCGAACAAGTAAGCCCACACTTTCTCCCTCTTCCTGCCGAGCTTATAGTAGATGTCCCGGTCCTTGCGGTGCTTGACTTGGGGCTTTTCGAACCTGCATTTGTTCCTCGGATCCTTCACATAAAACTCCACAAACTTTGAAAGGTATGTGAGCTCTTTCGCCGTGTCGTCACACGCAAACACGTGGTGTCCGGCGCGAGCGAGTTCCCAAATCAGTCCTGCATGCGCCCTGCCCAACAGCATCACGCCATCGTCCTCCCTGATGAACGAGCTGCACAGTTTTCGGAGACGTGCTGGCTCTCGTTCCATCCAAGAATAAACCGCGTCGGTATCGCCCTCCACGCCGATACACTCCCCTAAGCACCTCACAAATTCACCCTCTTCAACGTTCAAATTTGTCAACTCAGCTCGCAATTTCGGCGCAACCGTTATATTGTCCAAATTGTCGTTCTCGGCGTGGAGGACAATAGCCATCATGTCAGTGTACCGAACTGCAATGTTGCGGTACTTTTTCAAGGTTGTCGAAGGTGTATAGTGTCTGTACCATGACCCTGTGAGCACCTCAACATCATCCTGGTTGTACACACTCTGCATCACCTATTTCTGGTGTTTCATCGGCGCGAAAATGATCAAGGCCCAGTTTTCGCCACAACATGTCATGAGGAAAGCGTGCAGTTTGGAAAAGGCACCATCATCCCACGAAACACATTTCGGTGATATTGACATATCAAGAATGGTTGCCCGTATCTTCATCCCCCTCGCCGTACCAACAACCTCCTCGTTGTCCGTGAGCACTCCCTTCAGTTCGATTTCAAATGGCAGGATTGTGGTAATCCTCTTCCCCACTTCCCAAAAGATGTGACAAGCACTGGAGGATATCCAATTAACCTCCGCTCTCAGGTCGTCCAAGCATTCGATTGCCTCGTAGATGAAACACTTGAGGTGGAACGGGGTTTCCTTGTACATGCCTTGGGTTGCCTCCAGTCCCGCACCGTTCTCACCATTAATCTCATCAGGACCGCCCAAACGCCTCGGCACCTTCCTCGCCTTGTCGTCAGGGATGCGGTCGCGTTCCTCGGTCCATTTCTTGTCCGTCAGACCATTTTTGTTGTACCTCTCCAAGATGGTCGTATTACCGATGAAAAAGTCAGCGCTCCACTCTTCTTTTGACCTCCCCTTTGCCTTGAACAATATGTAGTTGAACATACGGACCATATATCTTTCACGCCGATTATATTTAACCAGGTCCGCCATGTTGCATCTACCACGAGGTACCGAACACGATGTCACGATGACATCACCACGCATCATGTGGTGAAGCGCCACTTGCTTCTCTCTCGCTGTCATATCGCCGAAAACTTTAAGATTGTTGGCGTCAAGTCGGGTATAGACACAGTTGCGCCTGATGGCCCCTTCCTGACCTTGATGCAGTGGAACAGGACTTTTTTGCCAGAGTTGTCCTTAAGAAAGTATTGCCCAGGCAGCCTCCCTTCCACTTTCCCCGGCAGGTCGATGTATCTCACACCGTCGACTCGCGGCAATAGCCCCTTCTCATACATGTCGAAGAATTTCTCTACTCGTGGCCATACTGTTTCGCCGCATTGCGCAAGATTCATGTATCCGCGCATCTTGTTCGTCCAGTCCTTGCAGTAGTCGTTCTCCAGGGACGAGTTGATGAGACCGGAATCAGGTGTCATTTTGCAGGCGGCGTTCATGAACTCTTCCCATTTCTTTTTCTGTTTCATTCCCTCGACGTCATTCAGGGACACGGTCCCTGGCGGACGGATCCGGCCATTCCTCTTATCCCAAAATGTTCTGATTTGGCGCACAGATGACGAAAACGATCTCGGGATCGAACACTCCTCCCTCGTGTTGTCGAGCGTCGAGGCGTACAGATATCCTCTCTTTCTGTCATGGTCAAAGAAGACAACACGTACGTGAGAGTATGACCTCAAGCCATACACTTTGTCGGCCGGTGACTTGTCTTTAATGAGTCTGGTCATTGCCTCAGCCGTGTGCTGGCCAGCGACAACATACCAGTTGTATGTATGAGCCAGTTCGACGTCAAATTGCTCCGGTGTGATCCGTCTGCCTTGAGACCCGTCCCTGTTGGGCACAATGGGAGCCAGGATGAAAGTCATGAAATCCCACTTCCCGTTGGTTTCCTTGGCCGCATGATGGATCGCATTATATATGGACGGCACCAACGTTTCGTCCAACGTTCTATGGTTGAAGAGGATGTCACCTTCAGGGATTGGCAAGATCTTTGTGACGTTCACTTCAATGTGTTCCCTTTTCTTCTTTGCAAGCCCATCTTCATCGAACTCCAAGAAGAAGCACCGTGTTGTGTCGATGGCTTCACCACGGGTGTCGGCGGAAGGTTGTGTCTGTTCCGACACATCTCTTGGAGGAACCCCTTCGGCATCCTCTCTAGAGTCACCCTCATCCACCATCTGCTTTCTTTTCGGTGGACGTTTCTCCGCTTTTGTCGCCCTTGTCGACGCGGACCCTTTTCGTTTCTTCACGCTTTCAGCGACCGCCTCTTGAGAAGCTTTGAGCGCCTGTCGAGATGCAGCGACAGTGAGTTTCTTCGCAGCGCGCTTATCCGCCGTCGCCGTTGGACTTGTTGAAGATTGTCGCTTCCTTTTCTGGACACTGGTCTCCAGCCGCTCTCCTGTTGCGTCGTCGACCCCCATATCAGCCGACCGCTTTTGTCGTCCATCGTCATCACCTACAGGATAGGCATGATCGTTTTCTCGATCGCCCTCGTCGTCCTCCTCATAGTATTGTTGATACTCCCCACCCTCGCAGTCATGCATAGTTTCCTCACAATCCTCTCTCTCTCTCTCCCTCTCGTTGTTCTCCTCTCCGACGTCGTCCTCTTCGACACCACATTCGTCATCGTCGACGGCATGATTACCCTGTGGATGTCGATCAACGCATACCCTAGAATCGTCCTTCGTTTCCTCGTACGATCCTTCGCTTATCTCCCGCAGCGTCGCCTTCCTGGACGCACCACCTTCGTCCTTCTGGCAACTGGGAGAGGGACGAGTTGCCAGGGCCTTCCTTTGGTATGTGATGACAGGCGTGCCTTGGTCTTGCCGGCTGGACGGTTGAGACGGTCCAGCACACTCCATCCGGCGGGACGAACCCACAGGAGGACCATGCTCATCCTCGCCTGGTGGACGACGCGGCTGACTCTGTTTGTTGCGGCGCCGGCTCCCAGTCGCTGACGTCTGCTGCGTTGGAAAACTATGTGGCGTCCTCTGTCTCTCTGTCATTGCTATACCGGGAAGATCCTCGTCCGGCGTGTCAAAAGGCACGAATGTCGGGGATATATGATGCCCGGCCTCAACCGTGGGACTGTTTCCGGATCTCCTGTAGCCGTTCGTTTTGGCGAGGAATTTCAAAGTGCCAAGCATGGTCAACACACTCACGTCTTCTTTCGGGGACACATCGAAGGCTTTCCTGGTAATAGCCTTACCGCCATACCCCTTGAACAGATTGTAATCAAGGCTGACTTTACGGTCGGCCTTCGTATGGTCCACTCCTTGTTCGTCGAACACCGTTGTGAGGAAAAACCTCCTGAACTTTCGTCCGTGCCTGTCCACCCTCTCATCCTCGGATTTAATAATCCCTCCAACACAGAACCAGTCGTCACCTGAGGCGTTCTTCAGAAACATAGCGGCCCCACATCCCGCCTCGCGTAACCCCCCCACCCAATCAAGGGCCCACTCCCTATCTCTATAGATTGTGCACGTGTTGTAGACTCTCTTTTCTAGGACAGCAGATACTCCTCCTGATGGCAGGCACATTCCAAACGAAGGAACGGATCGCATTCAGATTTCGAACGTTCCACCATCGTCTCACATGAGTCGCCGACGCATTCGAGCGTCGCATGGTATAGGGCGCTCTGAAAACGCCCTACCCCGTCCGGTTCCGCGAAGCAAGGCCGAGGGGGCACGGCGTTTCGAAAACGCCACACCCCGTCCGGTCATCGGAGACGAGAGGGAGCGGTGGTACAGCGATCTCGAAGCGCCGCACCCATCGGCCCTGTCCACCTACGCCATGCGATCTCCAAGCACCGCACCCGTCGGACCTGAAACGCCATGCGGCCCACCTCCCTGTCCTCTCAGAGAACAGGAGGGGGCACGGCGTTTCGAGACCTCCGTACCCCCGCTCCCACCCCCACCGAGAACCGGAGGGGGTACGGCGTTTCCGAAACGCCGAACCCCCTGGACCCTGTTCACATACAAGGCGGAGGGGGTACGGCGTTTCGAGAACGTCTTACCCCCGCTCCCACCCCGCACAGAGAAGCGGAGGGGGTACGGCATTTTCGAAACGCCGCACCCCCTCGACCCTGCTCACGTACAGGGGCGATGGGGTACGGCGTTTTGAAAACGCCGTTCCCCCCTCGGTTGCCGGGTGGGGGCGGGAGTTGGGGTACGGCATTTCGAGAACGCCGCACCCCCGCTCCCACCCCCACCGAGAACCGGAGGGGGTACGGCGTTTTCAAAACACCGCACCCCCATCGGTTGCCAGGAGGCGAAGGAGCGGGGGTACAGCGTTTCGAGAACGCCGTACCCCCGCTCCCAACCCCCGCCGAAAAGCGGAGGGGGTACGGTGCTTTGAAAACGCCGTACCCCCTTCGGTAGCCGG